ACAGGGAGAGTATATGCGTGTTGCACTCTTTTTCCCTTGACCAAGGTTTTGTCCTACTGGGTTTTCCTCTGCAAGGTTTTTAACGATGCAGCATTATCATATTTTTCTTGTAATGTTTTTATTTAGCAATGTACATCCAATAGGGAGTGTTATGTAATTATAGATGTCCATTAATTCATAGCTTGAGCTCATGTGTACTGGCCCATCTGATGATTGTAACCCTAGCTCTCCTCCTATATATACATCATCATATATGAATCAAAGTATGCTTTTGATCTGATTCATTACAGCGAGAGTGTTTTTATTGTTTATGTACTTGTAATTGCAGCATTATTACAATTGTTTTTGAATCGCTAATCGGTAGTGTTACCAAAAATTTGTTTACAACAAAATAATATAATTAATCAATTAAAATAGCTAATCGATTATTGTCAAACAAAATGTTTTTTTGACATTTTGTTATCATACCGCTTGAACAACCAGCACACAGCTAATCGATTATTGTCAAACAAAATGTTTTTTTGACATATGCTTTGTGCAATGAGTTATATAATAATCATAATAAGATAAGGTGAAAGTGTTTTTCTAACTAAAACGAGTAATATTGCTAAAGAGAAATATACTCCCTCCGTACCAAAAACAACATCACACTTCGTTTTCCACACATATTAAAGAAATAAACTTACTGAGGGTAAATTTTACTGTTTTGACACTGTTTGGACACTGTTAAGCACTGTTTAGCATTGTTTTGATGTATATAATTTGCCAAATAAGAAAGTGAGAAGAAGTGTGAAGTTAATTTTGGGACATCCATTTAAGGAAAATGAGAAGTTATTTTTAGAAGGGATGGAGTATTATTTACAGTTTCAGAAATTCAACCACTTAAATTACAATTTCATCAATTTCATTAATTTTTATCGATCCAAGTGATTTCAATATTACCAAATGATCCTTAAAATCCCATACTTCTTTAACGGAACATGACATGTTGATGTAATACTATTGGCGTGTTTGTCATTTAGCGATTAGCGGATAGCGAATTATGTTAGCGGGTCGTCAATAGCGGATTCAGACAGCGGGTTTCACTAGAGAGATAAATTGTCAGGATGTCTGAACATGTTTGGTAATTTAGCTGTTTGACCAAAAAATAGAAAACGCCATATTTGAAAAGATTAACCCAAAATTCTCTTATTTGTATCATTTTCATTTCATCAGTTCCGTTAAAAAATGCTACGACTGTATAGCTATTTACCGAACAACGATTTTATTTATTGAAAACGCTTAAAGGGATCGAACTGTCAATTTTGGACCGAAGCATCATTTTCGAACATGCAGCTAAAAGTGCTAAAAAGTGGAGTTTAGTAAATCCTCGCAATCACCGGTATCTCCTTAGATGGTCAAAGTGACAAATCATGTGGGAATAAAGTCATTATTGTTAATGTCATATTGTCAACATACAAATAAAGGTATATTTATTTTGTTCCGTTCCATAAAAATTGGTAAGTATGTGACTAAGATTACTTCTTTCTCTTCTGACAAATCTCAACTCGGCCAAATTTTACGGAACAGATGAAGTACTCCTGTTTCATAAAATTTAGTCAAAGTTGAAAAGCACGTAGAATAATAAAGTAAAAATTGTTTGATTGATATTTATTCAGAAAAGAAAGAAATAATTTTATCCACATATTTCTTACTTGAAATGGAAATAACAAAGTTATTGAGACGATTAAAATTAGAAAATTGACTAAGTTTGATGGGGGAAGTAGTATAAAAATAGCAACTTTATTGTGAAAGGTGTAGGCCGACCAAGTATGATACTAGTGATTTCATCTTCCTCACATAGTCACATCAATAGTTGTGCCGAATTGCGGAGTAATTAGAACGGCCCCTCTTAAAAGCTAAAATACCACGCGGTCGGGTGATAAATCCCAGCTTCCATGGATTATTAGTTTTTAATGATCTCCACTTTGAAAAAACAAGTCCACACTCGTTCTAATTATTTTTTGAGTTTTTTCTTTTTAGGAAAAATTATTTTTGAGTTCTGAATGCCATTTATACCCCTCCCAAAATATTGATTAAGCGACCATTGCCGTTGGTCTAAAATGTAGATGTGTATTATTCAGAAAATGATTTCTGACTCACATTTCTAATGACATTAAAAATCAAGTGTCTATGCAAGGATGTAACGTGCGGAAGCCCTAGGTTAACCTAGTCGCCGATACAATATGCAAGGATAATAATTATGGAGTAATCCCTCACCCTACTAGGGTGCGATCGTGTTGTATTTATAATAAACTGAGAATTACAAATTACATAGAAGTCCATATACTATGAGCTATTAGTGTCGAGTGTGATTTACTTGGATCACTCTCATTTATCATGATGTTAGCATTCTCATATTATTGTTTAGAGATTAAAATCACCCTCTCCAACGGGAGTTTGCACGAACTCATACCGATTATACACTATTATTCAGCTTATTGATAAATTTTTATCCAAATTTTTAGTTTCGCGCTCTGAATTATGTAATAATCAAAATAAATATCATTGATTTACAGTTTTGATCGAATCGGCTGAAGTTGACCATTTTAATTATTCTTTCATATAATTTTTTATTAATAAAATATATTTTAAATTAAAAAATCATAATTACATAAATTCAGCTAATTTGATTAATTTTAATATTACTAAACACACGCACGAAATGTCAAAATTAAAAACTGTATATTTCACAAGAAAATTAGGGATAGAACTCAAAAAAAAAACGGGAGTTACTCGAATAAAAAAAATAATGTTTGTACCCACTCTTATATCCACCTTATATGAAAGGGCTTTTAGTTTGATTTGCTTTTGAAGGGAATAGTACAATATCATTATCATGCCCAATCCGTTGGAAAATGCAAACGCAAACTTAATTTAGTTTTAGATGATTTTGGTAGAGAGAAAAAAATTGTTAAATATGCTTCAAAATACATAAAGTAGTAAACTAAATTTTAAATTATGTAAGATGAAATTAAAGATATTCAGTTGGATCTAACTAACAAAAATATAAGCTTTTAAAAAATAACTTAAAATTTTAGCAAGGTTGGCATCATAAAGGAATAGGTTTAATAAAAAACAAAATATAAACCATTTACTTTCTATGTTCGTATTTATAATAATAACTTAAAGTCAAAGAAATTCGGTGTAACTTAGTGCAGACCATTATATGTCATTAGTTATTAGTGAAAATACTATTATTAAACAAATGTTTGTACACTAAGAAAAAATTGACTACTTTTTGTGTAAGATAACTATCAAGCTTATGAATGAAAAATAATGTGAAAGTGCAATATCTGAAAGTCAAAGAAATTCGGTATTATTAGAATTGGACCCATACCTTCGTCATAATGCAACGCTATCTACCACCGAATATGATTGAGAAGTTATATCTTAAGGAAAATATAAAAAGTTTTTGTTGTAACTTGTAAGAGCAGATATGTAATGGTGACATTGAAAAACGTTTCTATTGTAAGAGCATATTTGTAATGTTGAAATTTATCGAAGCCATTGAATTTGTTAAGTATAATGAAATTAATAGTTGAATTTCATGAACCTACTCAACTATGAAAGAATTATATTTAAAATAGATTTTATTAATTATAAAAATAAAATATTATATTGAAGAAAGCTAAAACGGTCTTATTTCAACAAAAGCAAAAAATTAAACCTCAAAATTATTACAACTTTACTTTTTTATGGGAAATTACCCTAAATAGAAGTTTTGGAATTATTGGTATGTTTTTCTTCTAAAATGAGAATTTTAACTGTCATGATTGAAAAATAATATCATTCTTTAATAGCAGTAAATATTGTCATGTACTCCCTTCGTCCCAAAAATAACTTCTCAGTTTGACTAGCACACACATTTAGGTAGATTAAAATTTTGGTTTGACTTTCCCAAAATTTTACTGTTTTGACACTGTTTGGACACTGTTTAGCATTGTTTGGACACTGTTTAGCACTGTTTGTCACTGTTTGACACTGTTTTGATGTTGATAATTTTCCAAATAAGGAAGTGGGAAGAAGTGTGAAGTTAATTTTGGGACATCCATTTAAGGAAAATGAGAAGTTGTTTTTGGGACGGAGGGAGTATTAACTATTTTGATACTATTAACTCCAAAATAACAAAAATTATTGACATATTACTCTTATTTCGAGAAGAAAAACATAACACTAGTTTAGGATTTTAAAATGACACATTTTGATACCAAAAGCAAAACAAACTTCTTTTAAACATTCTCTTTACTTCATTCAGTTAATAAAAAAAGACTAAGTTTGAAAAAGAGCATGTGTAATTAAGTATAGAATTAAACCATTATTAATAAACTCAAATCTTCACTCTCTAAATATAAAAAAATTGTTAATTCTATCAATTCAATTTTTCTTGAAATTTTATTAATTCGGGACTTGAAAGATAGATAAATTATCAATTCCGGATCTGAAAGATAAATTGTATCGGTATAGGACGTGAATGATGGAAAACTATCAATTTAAGACCTAACATTTCATTGGTTTATTTATTTTATTTTTTATTAATTCCATTGCTAATTTTTGATAAAAAATCTTCACAAAAGCTTATTAATTTATTAAAACTAAATGATATTTAAATTTTTTGAAATAAAAATAATTATAAAATTCATGACAACTTAGATCCTAGATTGATAGTTTTCATTCATTCATGTACTAAATTGATAATTTTACACCATTCAGGTCTTATATCGATATATTTCATCTTTCAGATCCTGATAATTTGTCTATCTTTCAAGTCCTGGATTGATAAAATTTCATTGTTTTTACTCCCTGACAATAGCACAGTAGTTAGGGGTTGGAAACATCCTTCTGTCCGTATGGCTTTTGGGGTGAATAGCCTAAGCCCAGCAAATGTTGTCTACATCAAGAAGATTTCACAAGACCTTTTTTCCCAAAGCACAAATTTTCAGACAAAGACCTGTCCATGTGTGGAAATGATACTCCGTATGTCTTCGTGAAAATCGTACAACAAGTGTTTGCAATGTTTTATTTCCAAAGAGTGGACAAATTAACTACATCAACGTGATCCATCGATTATACACAGGATAATTATCAACAACTGTTGGCACTCGGCAGCACAAAATACTCCATAGAAAGTACATTATTATATATATTGCTACACCAGAAAGTGAAAAAGAACATTGGTCTCCTTTCCTTCATATTACAATTACAGTGAAGGTAATGAAGAGTAACAATGTTACAAGATAGAAGCGCTCTCAAGTCTTCGCCCTCAAGAAAACTCCCAAACCAAGTCTTGTCCTGTGGTAGAAACAAAAAAAAATACCCTAACATAACAATGTCCAAAGTTGAATGGAAAAAAGAGTGGTAGTATATTTCCCCATCCTTTCTTCCTCCTCTTGGTAATTATTATTGTATTGTTTGATGAATATTTCACCTCCCATCAACTCATCATTAACTCATTACATATGCACATCAAGACCCTGACTCTTCAATGAAAAACTCGTAATAATTGTCAATGACTCTCATCTCGCTATATATACAAGCTAAAACTAAGTGCATTAGTTTTAGGTTCTTTTGATTCTCACCTCCAAAAAATCTATGACTTGTTCTGCAACCTTTCCTCTAGGCTACTGCAGAGATGCTGCAGTTCCTTCCACAATTGAACCCTTCAATCCTTACCGGAGCCGGTTTGTTCCCAAATTTCATACCACACCCTCCCCCGCTGTTTTTACGGGCGGGAGAGGGTAGTGGTGGTGGAGACGATGGTGGTGGTGGTGCTATAGCTTCTAGAGTTTGTGTTAACGGGTCAAAAAAATCATGCCCAAATTGGGCATCTTGAATTAGAGGATTAGAAGCCCTGCTTGGTGGTGTTCCTGAGAAAAATGGAGGAGGCGATGAATCTGTCTGGAAACTGGCCCTGCCTTCACCATAACTGCAAGCCCCCTGTTTGCACATCAAAAAAGAAAATATTATAATATGACTCGAGATCAAAAAAACATTTGAAAGTCATTAATTATGGCTAATGGGCATTACAAGCCAGATTCTTACCAAACACTAAATATTGTACATGGCTAACTGAACCAACCAATTAAGAAAAAAAACTTGTTTTGAAGTTAAATTTTTCTGAAATGGATAAAATTGATAGTCCCAGCTTTATTTTCTATCAATTTCTTTGATTTCTTTGATTAAATGAAATATTAATTTTTTTATTCTGTTTAGATAACTTGATGTGAGATTTGAGCCAAAACGTTCAGCCAATTTTTACCCTCCACAAACAAGTTTTCAGTAAGGTGTAAGGAACATGGAAGGTGAAGTCATTGGGCGGAGATTTCTACAAAGTAAAAAACAGCAACCATTCACACACAATTAAATGGAAGAACCAGTATATACAAAAATAAACAAAGGTCCTGTAAATTGTCCGTGAATAACGGCTAAAGTAACGAGAATATTGTCAACTAGTTTACAAAAGCATTACAAACACAAAGACATACATCAAGATTTTGTTGTGTAAATCAAAAAAGTTTCAATTTTCCCACAATTTCTACAGTTTTTAAGCAAGCTAGGAAAGAGATACAAGTCCAAATAACCTTGGTAAGGATGAAGTCCAGCAGTTCAGTTCCAGATTCCGAATCACAAGCCTCCATCTGCTGACTGTTACAAATTTCAAAAGAAATGATAACATCCATATTAGTCAGAAACTGTAAAATGAATAACAGTATGAAGACGAACACCTAATCTTATTTAGAACGAAAAAGATAAATACCCGAACTGCAGATAGCAGGAAGGTTTGATGGACTGAATGGCATCAAAACCAGAGGGCGAATTGAAGAATCCACCGACTCTGCGGGGTTTGGGGCAAGCGACGCCGCTGGAGAGAGCAGCGTCTACTCCCCTTGAAGCCCTCATCATCATCATTTTTTTCCTTTCCTCGCCTCCTTTCTCCTCGACCTAAGCCTTCACAGATCCAAGATCTGCAAAGAAAACACAGCGCAGAAAACACATAAATACACAATTTCAGATCTAAACGCAGAACCGGTGATTATATGCATGTGTGTTTTCTGATTATAGACACGTGATTAAAAACGTGAAAATAAGTTTTGGTTCAGGAGTGAATAGAGAGAAAGAAAGACCTAAGCGTGGCGCGCTGGGTAGAGAGAGAAAGTGAAGGTCGGCAGGCGGCGGCGTGTGGAGCAGAGTGAAAGTCGGAAGGCGAGAGTTGTTTCTTGTGTTGGCTAAAAGAGAGCTAAAATGGTGGTGGTGCGAGGTGTATTCATAGGAGAAGAGAATGAAAGGGTTTGCAATATTCGGGTTGGCCCGTTTCATAATTGGATTGATGATTCGGGTCCAATTTTGTACAGTTGGTGGTACGTACGTTTAGTTGTTCACTTGTTTGTACGTCAATTGTGATTGCTCTATTTTTAGTATTCTCTTCGTCTCATATTTAACTCCGGTTTTGATCGGGCACGGGTTTTAAGATAGTAGGATTTGTGTGGTGGATAGTTATGCAGAGGAGAGAGAAATGTGTAAGAATGGTTGTGAACCACATATTCTTTACCAAAAAGGGAAAAATGAGATAAATTTGGGACGGACCGAAAAGGAAAGTATGAAGATAATTCCGGGACGGAGGGAGTAGTATGTACCACCTCCGTGGACTTTACCAAGTACTTCTACAAAGTAGATGAGAAATAAGAATAGTAAAAACTGTGTGAATGAAATTTGTGTAGAGGAAAGAAAAATGTGCAGAACCACAAATTAGTTGCTTTAATAGGAAAGTGCCAAAGTTTTTTGGGACAACCAAAAAAGGAAAGTTAGCAAAGTCCAATGTGACGGAGGGAGTGTCTCTTTAGATACTTTGCTTTGTTTATCACATCAACTTTTTCATATGTGTAACTTTTGATTTTGTGCGTTAAGTTGTTTAATACCATCTTTGTCCCCCTAATGTTGGGAAGGAAGAGAGCGGTGTTGTTTTTTAAGAAAAGTAAAATTATGTGATTTGATAATGAATTGATAGAGTGAGAATAAAGTAAGAATGAATTAGAGTCACACAAATGTTATAAAATATAGCATGGGGAAATAATAGAGGGACATCCAAATATGTAAAAATACGGCAATTATAGGAGGTAAGGGGGACGAGGGAAATAATTAAAACAATTAAGGTTGAGTTGCTTTTCAGACTGAATTGAATTAAATTACTACAAAGGACCGTATTGGCTATTTTTCATATATTTTTTCTTTATTTTATTAATAAAATATAATTTAAATATATTGATTTCTTAATTTAAGAGAATCAACAATTCAATCACTTCAATCAAAACTTCAAAAATTTCAGTAATTTCAGTGTTATCAAACATGCTCGATAAAAGTACACTCACTCTATATAACTAGATGTGATTTATTTTTAAGTTAAACACAACGTTGTCACATTATTTTATAAAAACATGCAACTACGTAGTACTCGTATTTTATAATCATCTATCCGTGTTATATATTTTACATTATACGGAGTATAATGTAAATGTTTTTAAAAATATCCTGCAAAAATTAAGGTTTGTAACGCTTGGGAAACACGCTCGGTGTGCAGGCAACATCCGCTTGGCGTGCGGACTTTCACAATTTTCGACCAAGGTTCCGCCAGGTCCGCTCGACGTGCGGGCAACATCCGCTCGACGTGCGCACCCTGTTTTATACTAATCCGCCCCAAACTTCGGAAATTCACTATAAATAAATCTTTAATTCGATTTTAAACCCTAAGACCGCCTCTTCAAGCTCTATATATTCCATCTCTTCAATCCTAACATATCCAACAAGAGTTTTAAGGCCAAGAACGTGATCAAAAAATCAATTCCAATTTCCCTGGTAAGCGCGTTTGTTGCCTATTTCACATTGTTTCTTCGTTTTCTTGATTTTTTTCTCTCCTAAATTGTAATCCTTCGACCCTATAAATTCCTAGGGACGTGTGAGTGACCCCTCAATCTAGGTTTGACGTTTAGGATTCGTTGCTAGCCTCGAGGTAAGGACTATTGCAACCAAAATTATTAGTTTGCCTATATTATGTATTAATTAGGTTTGTGATATGATTTGAGTTTTTTTCTGAAATTTCATGGATATTTTGGCTATTATAGTATGGATATGATGATGTATGATATTACGGTAACTTTTGAACATATTATTTATGGTGAATTTATCTAATCAGTTTGTTATGGCCGAAATTGTGATTTTTGGGATATAGTTATTTTGGATTGGAAAATTGTGGAGATTGCTTTGGTATGAATTGAATTATGTTATGAACATCTTTTGTACTATATTTTGAGAATATATTCTGGATTAGGATTACCCTAATTGGATTGATTTGGTGGTGGTAGTAAAAGCTATTTTTGGAAAGTGTTGTATGAAATCTTTTGTCAAATTGTAATCAACGATTTCTGAATACTTTGAGCACTCAGGAGTAATCCATGATGTTCGGCTCTACATCCGGTTAAATGTAGAATTGTAGTCTAGGGTAAGGCTACTATTATATGGTGGATGGTTTCTTTTGTGGTTTTGGATATTTGAATATTGGTATAAGTGGCTTCGGCTTTTGAGGTAGTAGTAGTTCATATTCCACTTTTAAAGGATTCGTCCTTTCTTGGGTAGTCCATAGAAACTTATCTTGGCTATATGGGCTTCTTACTACTTGGAGGGTTTGAAATCTCTTTTAGATGGTGCACACACTTAATGTAGAGGTTAAGTTTCCGATTGGTGGTTTGGGTGGGGTCCGGGTTTATCGGGCGGTTCATATGTGAACTCAGTAGCTTGTGAATCCATACGGGACACTTGGGGGTGATGTGTGCTAGTTGGTGACCACGTATCCGCTTGGTTCAGGTTCTATTCTAGGGAGCTCCCCCATCTTTAAAAGAATCTAGGATAAATTAGTTCAAATGAATTTTGGTGGATTATTAATAAATAATTTTTATGGTGGATCGGTAATCACCCCGACAAATTTTTTGGTGTAATTATATATTTTTGGAAAGTTGGATTTTTGGGAAGTTATATTTTGGGAGGTTATATATTCTTGGGAAACTATTCTAAATAGTTATATTTTTGGGAGACTTATATTATTGGGAAGTTGTATCTTTGGAAAGTTATATTTTTGGTGTGATGTGTTTTTGGAAATCTATTTTTGGAAAGTTAATCTTTTGGAAGGTGATATTTTGAAATGTGGGATATTGGAATGTAGTAATTGTTGAAAAAATGTGTTAAAAATTGCATTAAATGGTCATTTTGGGGCAATTATTTGAGTGGGGTCCACATCCGATTTGGGTCGGGTCAAAGTGGTTTCGGATTGTCCTTGTTAAGGGCTACAATTCGATATATGGTACACTCAAAATGGATAATGAGTGAATGAGAAATTGATTCTCGAAGTACACTCATTGAAATGGAAAAACTGGGAAAATGATGGGTTTCTAGTGTGTTTTATCCCACACCGAAAAACTCAAGGGATTTTCACCCCCTTATAAAGGGAAGTCTCTTTTAAGGAGTTAAGATTCCTAAGGGTAAAGGTTCTCTCTTACGCGCAGGGGGGGCTATCATTCAAAGATACGGTCTAATTTTTGTTTCTTCCCATAACGTTTTATTTTTCCCAGTGACAGAAGGGGTCGAGTTCTGTCCGCAACAGAGACCCTCGAGGTCTTCTGTTCGCAACAGAGACCCTCGACGCCTTCTGTTCGCCACAGAAGGTCTTCTGGTCCGTTACAACAATAAATGTCCAACGTTCTTCTCTTTTAATGCTGCGTTAAATGGACAGTTTGTGGATGATTCAATGCCCAACGGACTGGTCATTGATGTCCAACGTTCAAGTCCATTAACACCCCATTTAACACACAACAAATCATCCTATAAATAGCTGGCATGTGGTTTGCAACAGGACAACGCACAATACATTCTGCAAAACACCTACAGCTACTCTACAAATTTCTTCTGTGTTCATACTTGGTTCTCGCTCGTTGGAACTCTTGTTTGTGTGCTCAAACATTAGTTCGTAGTCATCGTATCCTGGGAAACGATTGTTGCAACGCTCCTAGCACTGTGGGAGGCAACAAATACGTTTTAAGGACATCGTGCGTAGCACGAGCTTTGACTAATTCTGCTTCATCTCCTTTCTTGTTTTTCTCTAGTCATTTTATTTAATTAATTTATTTTAATTAATTTCCTTTATTTTCCGAAACACACCCAACGGTATTGTGATAGTGGTATTTTACTTCTATGTGGATAATGGATATGTGGTAATTGTAATTGCTTAAATCCTCTAAATGCTATTTTAGCTACAAATGTTATTTTGGGTACGGGAAAGTGGTCTATTTTTTTTAAGTTTAATAAATATAATGATACTGATTTTTTGAACGAGCTATTAAACTATGTATTAATGTATTAGTGACACTTCAGATCTTTCACCTATTGTAACAATGAAGATATAGTCGAGGTATTACAAGTTTCAATTTCACAATAATAGAGACTAAAAATAGCAAAAAAATCAATAAGTCATTTCGTAACACTCAAATTAGTTGAATAGATTGAGTTCGATGAAATTGATAAATTTTTTATTGAATATTTGTAGCGACCGAATTGCATGTATCTGCTAATTAATGAAAAAATTCTACATATTATATAAAATTTGGTTTATTAATAAAGTAAAAGAAAACATATAAAAATGTCCCAAATGGTTTTGTACAATAACTTTAAGGAGTATTTGCGATCACTTCTACTTTTAAAAAGTGAATTTTTAAAATGATATCGAAGAAAGTGCTTAATAGTAGAAGTTGATAGTGTTTGTTTAAAAAGTGTTTTGGAAAAAGTAAAAGTTGATAGTGTTCGATAAAGTAAATGTTTTTTGTGTAATAGAAAAAAGTGAAAAGCAGTTCAAAACACCTCTCTACATGCTTCCAACTTTTAAGTGTTTAATTTAAACAGAAATTGTCATTTGGAAACACTTATTGTAATTTTTTTTAATCAAAAGCTAAAAAATGGTTCCAAACTAAATTTTTTCTATTACTCCTTATTACACAATTTTGGGCGGAATATAAAGTTCTTATTTGATATTGAATGACAAAGGCTTTAATAAGAGTAATAAAAATGGAAATAACGTTGAAAAATTAGTAGGAAAATTAATTATCTAGAACACATATTTGTGGTGTGCATTTGTACACCAATACACCCAAATACTTGTGCCGTAAGCACTACTCAACACACTATTGAAGGAAAAAGTTTTGAAAAAAAGGACGAAACTCCATCCTTGAGGGCTCCCCAATATCGACCGGACTGTTAGATGACAAGATGTA